AAAAAGTTGCCAAAAATCAACGGTAAGCCTTAAGGCCCGTCCACATAGAAATTTGGCGTTGCATACATGAATTCAAATGCAGACGTCCACATGGCCAAAATTCGACAACGCTCACGCCACCGGACTTTAGCTACTTCCAATTTGCACTTTGCATACTAAAATTCAATGCGCTACAAAACAAAAGATTGTCAAAAGCGCCCTTTTGCAAATTTTAGCTATAGATTGGTGCTAACAGTTTTTGGACACCTCCGATAGCTTTCGAGAATTTGACTAAAATTTATCGATAATTTAGTAAAAATTTAGTGAGCAGTCATACTAAACTAATCAAGATCTTTCACATTAATTTTTGGATATCTAAATTGGCTTCCGAGATATTTAGTAAAAAATTTTGTCGTATGTCACTTAAAGTGGTTGCTGTAAAATTGTTGACAAATGTAGCATTCCACCAACATTTTCTAAAGAAAATCCTTAATAAATGTATATGTAAATAATTAAGAATAAGCAACCGAAATAAAATAATTTAAGAAATTCGTGAACTATGTAGTAACATTCTCCGAGACTTTGGGAAAAATCTATCGGCCCGTTTTCGAGAAATTGCATTCCAAACTTCAATCGCGATATTCCAAAACCTGCTGAAAGTAACATGCCATCTTTCATCCAGACGACGATATTTTAAAATTCGTCGAAGTTTTTTCAATGTTCTACAAAGTTTTAAATTTTTATTTAGACTATTTTTTTAGCTAGTAACTTTATTTTCATAAAAAATAAAATTAACAAAAAACATTTTTAACAAAGCAAACTTTCTAAAATGCGTCCTCCCTAACTATGTTTTCGCCACCGCATATGGAAATGTCTGCATCAGATTTTTAAAATAAATTTATTTTCTACAAAGAAACAGTAGTTCGAAGGCAGCCTCGTCTTTTTGTAAGGCAATCTGAAAAAATGGACAACAATTTGTGAGCTTCAGTCAAAAACTGGTAAGAGGAGATTTTCCAAAGGGGTTCTTTGAGCTTTAAACAATTTATTAGGGGTGGTCATAAAATTTTCCCTCCCATCTAGGGTGGCCAGATGCGCTGATTTAATCAGTACGTGTGCTTATTTTTTTCTATTATACTGATTTTTAAGAGCCCGAAATCAGTACGCAAAATCTATTGATTTTTTAAGTTTGTACTGATTTTGTACTGATTTTTACATTTAATATTTTTGTAAATTGGTGTAACTGACAACATTTAC